AACAAAGATGATAAAGGTAGTTTGTCCAAAGTAATGCAGATACTATGTGAGAGTCAGAATTGAAGCCATTCTCTTGACAAGTACACTTAAACATTCTCATGATCAGATACACAAATTCCAGATGGAATTTTTTATTTAGCTTTGTCACATTTAGAATACAGCAGCTCTTTACCATCCCAATCATTAGAAGATAAGGGTCCAACATCTCTAAGAATACAAGATTTGTTAGGCTGTTATTAGTAGTAGTGTGATGACTATGATTATCATAATTAGTGAGCGTTTTCTATGTGGTAAGCATAGTAAGCATAATGTCAAGCAACTTTTTACTATATTCACTTACTCGATGAATTTGCATTTTGACTCAATGAAGTAGGTGCTATCACTACTGCTTTTTTATGAACACTTCATCTTTGGCCCAAGGTGACCCAGTTTGAAATAGTCAGAATTCAAAAACTATGTCTAAGTCACTAAAGAGCTACATTTTCTCTTTCCTACACTGGCCCACTTTTTTTTCTTTCCAAAATATCTTAAAACACATAACGTGAGTTTCTACTTCTTAAACTGTCCCAACTGCAGATGTCTAATGAACACCTAAATTTTTAACAAATACTTTCAGAGTGCAATTACCACTGCTTCTTGAAACATCATGTGTATGTTTTGCTGCACCTCTGACTTTAAAGGATCATTAGAAGATGCAATCTTTAGTTAAAAAAATGTTTCTCTGTGACCCTGACCCTCCTGGGATAACAACTTGGCATCTTGAATTTGTGTGTTGTCATTCTTCCATGAGGCCTTCTGCTTCATTTTCCCATATGAGGGAATAATCCTTAACATCGAAGCACCACCTGGTTGTGTTGTTGGTGTTCATGCACAGGATCTGTCAGCCTATCTAGCATGCTTACGCTTCTGTGGAAGGAGCCATGGTGGGGCAGGAAAAGAGACGGTTTCTCTGACTGCAAAATATTTGATACCAAAATGACAAACTGAAGGATGGCCCATCTTAATCATTTTGATACTTGTATTTGAAAAGCATTCTCTTGAGATTCCCCATGCTCCAACCACAGCATAAGGTCATAGATATTCTCCAAAATTTTTTGACAATTTGATTTTTTCCACATGACTCAGGATTTGATGAATACTAATGAGCTGACTTGGGGATGCCTCAAGAAGGCAAATGACTTTTCTAGACTGGTCTATATATGCATGATTGCAGTTACTGGCTTCTGGGAAAGTTTCTATTTACAGTGTTGGTGTCATCTGGCTCCTTGGGCACATCATTTAATGGACTGACACATTTGCTTGTTTTACCCCAAACACTGCCACAGATAGAAAGGTTCTACAGTGCTATTGCTCAAGAAAGAGACTCTGATCTCTCTCTGTGAAGTCAAAATGAGGCAGGAAAACTAAATTGTACCTTGCACAGAGTTAAGCTGACTTAAAAAAATGGAAGTCTCAATACCTCTTGTCCTTCTGTTCCTAGAGGTATGATTGTTCCCGTTATGAGGTAATGGCATTATGGTACCCAAAAGAATTTAAATTGGATAGTTCTTCAATAAACTTAATACCATATTATCCAGAAATTTCACTTTTAGGTATGTACCCAAAAGAATCAAAAACATATGTTCATGCAGAAATGTGAATACAAATGTTCATAGCAGCACTATTTACAATAGTCAAAAGAAACAGCTGAAATGTTCATCTAATTTTGAAACAATAAACAAAATGATGTCTTACTATACCATGGAATGTTAATCAGATATAAAAAATGAAACACTGACACATACACAACAGAGAAGAACCTAGACAACATTGTGGGAAATGAAAGTAGCCAGCCAGACAGGATCATTTTACAGGATTTCATTTATATGAAGTAAGCTAATCCATTGAAAAAGAAGGCAAATTAGTGAGTGGCAGAACATGGAGGTGGCGGTCAACGGAAAAGAACTTTTTAATGGGTTTGGGATTTCCATTTGGAATGATGAAAATTTTATGGAACTGGTGATGGATGCACTGTTACTGAACTTTTTCTTTTTAAATGATAAATTTTATATTATATGAATTTGACACAATAAAAGTAAATGATTTTAGCATATATATAAGTAAACCAGTCCCCAAAGGACAAATAGATGTTCTCTGTGATAAAATACAAAAAATATGTAAAGTACACACACATGCATGTAAACAAATACATATATGAACAAATACATATATGAACAACAAATACATACATGAACTGTACAAGGGAGGCTAGCACACCATGAAGTAAAGGCACTATGCAGTATGAACATCTACTTCCAAATAGATGCAGGATGCCCAATAAAATTATCTTTCCTTTCAAAAAGATTTGATTATTTTTATTGGAATGGCAGATTTACAGAGAGAAGAGACAGGGATCTTTCATCTGCTGGTTCACTCCCCAAGTGGCTCTGATGGCCAGAGCTGAGCTGATCCAAAACCAGGAGCCAAGAGCTTCTGAGATTATCCAATGTGAGTACAGGGTCCCAAGGCTTTGACCCATCCTCCACAGCTTTCCCAGGCCACAGCAGCTAGCTGGGTGGAAAGTGGAGCAGCTGGGACACAAATTGGTGTGCATATGGGATCTTTTCAAAAGCAAGGTGAGGATTTAGCCAATGTGCCATCGCTCCAGGCCCTCCCAATGAAGTTCTCAAATTTATGTCTAAAAACCATATTAGGTTTTCTCATAGGTCATAAATGCTAGTTGACCGTTTTTGATTCAGAAAGTCCAGTCTCATAGAAATACTAAAAACACACATCCTTGTCATCTTATGGAATGGGGAAATACTGCAAATACTTCAAATATAGAATGGAAGAAGGGCAGCAGCAAACTTTTGCCAAATGCCTGCTACCTAAAAGTTCGTGTGAGTTGCACGAAAGGCGAATGGCCTCTCAGCCGCGTTCTGTAGTGCTGCCTCTGGGAAAGGTGAACGGAGCAGCTACACTCATCTCTCAGTTGGTGAGTAGGGTCTTTAAGCCTCACACTAGAGTCTCCAAAGGGAAGTACGTCTCATGAGTAGACCAACAGAGGGAAAGATAATCCCCGTTGCTTCCTGATGACCAGTACGTGTACGAACAGTAAAAAGAGGCAATTATGTGTGTAACATGTTTAAAGGACTCAGCCTCTCTTTACCGTAGCTCCAGTGAAACCATGAGCTGATTTAACCTATCCCAGGACACTACGATCATCTTTGCTACCTGCCCTTTCTCAAAAGCCCAGGCAAGAACACGAGCAGGGGGAGGTAAGGGAAGGGATTTGTATTTGTGAAAACTATTCCAGGGGCTGGTTGACTACCTGTGATGCAGCATCCCGTATGGGTGCAGGTTCATATCTTGGCTGCTCCATTTCAAATCCAGATTCCTGCTAATGGCCTGGGAAAAGCAGTAGAAGCCAATTCAAGTGTTTGGGAACCTGCCACCCATGTGGAAGGCAGGCTGAAGCTCCTGGCTTCTGACTTCAGCCTGGCAATTGGGACCATTTGGGGAGTGAACCAGTAGACAGAAAACCTCTCTATCTCTCTATGAAATGAATCAATCTAGAAAAACAAACAAAAAACAACCGCCACCACCAACAGCCCACCTTCCTTATTATGCATTATACTAATACGTAAGAGTTGTACATATTGCTACATTCCTTACATTTCAGAAAAACTAATGTTAAATATATTTTATGAAGGGGGTACCTTTGAATTTCATTTATTTTAATATTATAGGCCCTCTGTTATAGATTATCATGGATTATATATATAAAAATATATACATAAAATGTTCTGGAATTAATTTATTAGAAACACCTTAGAAGTACATATTTTTGTGCAGTAAATTTTTTGATTTACTGATACTTTTTTTGAAAACCAGTTACCTTGCTTTTTTAAGTTCTTTATATGTTTTCTTTGGAAATGCAAACATTATAAATCAATGCCATTTTTAAAATGCACTGCCATTTCAGATTGATTATAGATAGATTTCTTAAATGAAGTACTTTTATAATTGCAATGATTCTGAACAAACTATTCTCAAAGGCATTTGTCATTCCTATAAATCAAGATTTTAAAGACCAACATCCTTTCTTGAGGGTTATTTTACTATACTGTGTGTGGTATGTGTGTCAGCTTCTTGTTCTTATACCTAAATTTGATACAAGCTATTTGTGAAGGACATTTGTTTATTTGGGTTCACAGTTTTGCAGGTTTACAGTCCAAGATTGGGAAGAGCCCACTGGTTCAGTCTCTTGTGGTAGTGATGTTACTGGCCAAGGGCATCCCCTGGAGAGAGGGAGCATGTGTGTCTGTGAGCCTTCTTAGAAAGCCGTGGGAATGTAACCACAGGGGTTCACCCTGACAACCCCATCCAATCTGACCACCTGCCAAAGGACTCTTCTCAACATACCATAAATGGGTGAAGTTTCCACCCTGTAGCACCATAAACATAGGACTTTGAGGACCAACTCTTTACTATTTGGGCCTTTGGAGGATACTCAACATCCAAACCATCTGAACCATAATAGCTTATGGTCACAGAAAATCAAGGTGATAACTTTCAACATACTGAATTATCATATACTTGTTACATTTCCTGATATGTAAGATGACAGTGTCTTTTGTTCTTTCTAGTCTGTTTTTAATCTGTGAATTTAGGTGCATTATCTCTTTTCTTATTGATCATTTTTATACCTGTATACATGAGTTGTGATGAAACATGTTAGGTAATGCTATTGCAAGGGCCCTAAGTGGCTTAGTTTAAAACAACAACAACAACACAACAACAAAATTGTAATATTGGTGTTTTGGTGAAAGGTATTGATTTATTCTGTTGTGTTATGTATAAATTCCATGTCAAAAAAAAAAAAAAAGCCGAGGGTAGAGTGTCCCAGGAACAGTCCTCTCTTCTCCCACTTTGTTTTGCCACCCTTCTTTCAGCAAAATATCCCAGTTTCTTTTTCTCACTCTGTTTAGGCCCCAAATCACACATTAATCTCTTCGTACCTGATACAGCTCAGTAGCAGTACACTGAGTGGTCAAGGTCTTCACAGGCTCAAGCTCATCTTCATCACTGCTCAGCTTCAGGTCATCCTCAAGCATCCTGAAACAATTTCAGAATGAAATTTACATTAGAAAATGTCTTTCCCAAATCATTCTGAGATACATCTCTCAAGAAGGATAAAATAGTGGAGCAGTCTGGCTGCTGCAATACTGTCAAAACTGCAGTAAGAACCGAGGTTCTTCCAGTTAATTAGCTATTTATGCTCTTATATTTATGCCATACTGCACATACATATCCCCCCAAATAAAGGGAAAAACGTCCTATTTCGGCATCTTCAGAGATGACTGAAGTTTATATATTTTGAACACTAAAAGTGCAATATATACAATGGTAAATCAACTGTGTGAGTGGGACATGACATTGGTTCTTTACAGGACAAGATGCTCTGAATCTCCCAGAAAATAATAGGGATGAGATAGCAGCCCATAGCCTTACAGGAAGTTGCTTCAACCTGCTGGGAACTCTCTGGGTAACAAAGGCAAAGGGCCCAGTGAACTTCCAATGCCTTTCAGTAACCCCTGCTACCAGGCAACTTGATGGCCACAAAAGAGCACTGTGAGAAATGGCTTGTCATTAACCTTTGATATACGACCCATCTTTTCCTATAAAATTTGGTTCAAGAGACATAATCCCAAGATGTGAATAAGAAAACTTTCTCTCCCTAAGGCAATGTACCTGAAAAAATATAAGTGATGTGGATTTTGGTGATGTACTAAGAATTTCAAAATTATTTATGGAGCACACAGGTTTTTGTTTCTATGAGTATATTAATCCCAGCGCCATCCATCACCAATATTTAAGCACATTCTGTTATTTTCTTGATTGTACAGTCAGTATGAAACAGCTTCCACGCCAGAATTACTTTTCTCAATTATAGAAATCCTATATTTTTTCCTCCCTATCTCAAGTTGATCCCACTTTGTCCACTAAAGCTTTCTAGAAAGAATCTCTATGTCAGAAAGTGTACTTTTTGCTCTGATTCCACCTAAGCTCTAGTTAGATTCCAATGCTGTGTTCCCCTGAATCTCTCCCCAATCAGTTGCTAATTCCATGACTGTAATGAGTGTAATGTATTTCATCACCATGCTATTCAGAGCATCTTCCCACATATGATGGCATCCACTGGTCTCATTTTGCAGACAAGAATGAAAATATCCAGGGAATATTCAGAGAGATGAAACACTTTGCTAGTTAGTGCTATAACTAGTACTAAATTCTTTGTTTCTGTATTCCCAATTGTATGCTTCTTCCAGAAAGGAAAAATGAAGATCCTCACTTGAGAAATAGGAAAAACATTATTGTGGAGATTATACTTAAATGTTAGCAACAGATTCAGATCAGAATGGGTATCCAGTAACCCTCCAAAGACAACACAGCAGTTCAGTTTAATGTGTAGCCACTTAAGACTAGGATGTGCACACTGAAGAAACTGAAGCTGGAAGACGGATACAGAGGCTGGCACGTGGGAAGGACAACTGTTAGACCTCACTTTGGAAGACCAAATTTGCAGGATTTATGATTGCACTTCAAGAGACTAATGGGTAGTTTCAAGATCTTAGAGAAGGAAGAAAATGTACTTTGGAATTTGTTTCACAGTTTTAGGCTTATGATTCTGAATGAATACTTTCTTTAAAAAAAACACTGTAGGAAGTACACATTATTCTCACAAGCGCTACGTATAACTCCAGTATTTAAAAACTATCTTCATTTGGCATTACAAAAAGTTTCACTTTTAGGGAATATGTATGCACTATTTTCAACTTAAATGTCCAGCCAATGAGCTGGTAAATCATGAGTGCCTTTTTGAAGGTTCATTTTCTGTGTCATAAAAAGTTGGCCAGCATTATGGAATTTGGTACTCATACATGAGCCTACGAAGAAGGTGCTGTGTTAGGCCTATTTCTCTAGATAGGAACTCTGAAGCTTAGAGAGGTTATGGGACATGCTCATGACCAAGCAGCTGGAACTCATGCAGACAAACAGGAAATCAGACCATCTCTCCAGCTAGAATTTGAGAGACTACACACTGTTTTCTTACAAGGTATAACATATAAGTGATGGTGTATAAAATAAAATCAACAGAAATAATAAGAAATCTTAGAAATTAAATTAAAAGGAATCAAGATACTTGGATTCAGCTATGGGACAACCATGAGTTATTTTGGGCAAGTCATTTACAACTCTAAGGCTCGTATCTGATCCTCATCTCTTCAACATGGCCATGGTGCGAGCATCACAGGAACTATTATACTTCATCATTGCATGGCATCAAAACGTTAATGTCAGATATCTGTTTAAACATTTATGTCTTCCCTAGAAACAGAGAACATTGGATTTAATATTATTAACAAGTAGTCACGGCTGGCACAATGGCTCAATTTACTAATCCTCCCCTACAAAGTGCCAGGATGCTATATGGGTGCCGGTTTGTGTCCTGGCTGCTCCACTTCCCATTCAGCTTCCTACTTGTGGCCTGGGAAAGCAGCAGAAAATGGCCTGAAGCCTTGGGACTCTGCAATCTCATGCGAGACCTGGAGGGAGCTCCTGGTTCCTGGCTTTGGATCAGCTCAGCTCCGGCTGTTGCAGCCACTCGGGGAATGAACCAGAGGATGAAAGATCTTTCTTTCTGTCTAGTTCTCTCTGTAAATCTGCCTTTCAGGAAAAATAAATAAATATTTTTCTTAAAAAAGTAACTATGAATGGACATCTTTAGTCTTCTCATTTTAATTTGCTCAGCAGTCCAAAGGTAAGACAAAGTAGGTCAAGAAACATCCAGGGCAAAGCTCAATGCAGGAAAGGGCTGATGACCGTCAGCGGGCTAGTCAAGTGGAACGTGTATACACAGAGCCACAGCATTGAAACTTGACTCTAGCAGTTAATTAATTCTCCAGTCAACTCTACAATACCATGATAAAATGTCCTCCAAAGTACAACTGTGGAAAGAGGCAAGCCATATAGTGATTGGTATGGATTTGATTGTTTATAAAGGACAATCTGATGCATATATTCAAGTACAGGACTTTTCCAGAAAGGGCAAAGTTAACTGGTTATCTCTGGAACTGGTGGGTATTCATTTCATTCCAGTGCTTCTCTGACCTATTAAACCTTATTATGGGACGCGCGTGAAGTTGTTTGTATTTTCATCTTTGACTAATACTGAACATAACCCTAGGCAAAGCATAGTATCATGAAGGGTTTTTAAAAATTTTTTCTATTTCTAAAGATTTATTTATATTTTTATTGAAAAGGCAGATATACAGACAGGAGGAGAGACAGAGAGGAAGATCTTTCGCCCAATGGTTCACTCCTCAAGTGACTGCAATAGCCGGTACTGTGCTGATCCAAAGCCAGGAGCCTCTTCCGGGTCTCCCACGCGGGTGCAGGGTCCCAAAGCTTTGGGCCGTCCTTGACTGCTTTCCCAGGCCACAGGCAGGGAGCTGGATGGGAAGTGGGGCTGCCGGGATTAGAACCGGCGCCCATATGGGATCCTGGCTCATTCAAGGAGAGGACTTTGACCACTACGCTATTGTGCCGGGCCCCATGAAGGTTTTAATTTTAATTATATCAGCATCACCCAGAGACATTGCAGTTAAGGTCATCTCAGCAAAAAACAGTAATCTTTTTTCTTTAGGTTATAATTCTCTGAACAAACTCATTATTTGTTGAATAGTCCAAACTGTAAAAAAAAATGCTGATATAATTGTATGCCTGTGTATATAATCTTTAAGAAACGATATGAATTTTCTTCAATTAGATGAAAACAGAACCAAGCAGACCTCCTCAATGATTTCAGATGCTTATTTAGGGTTGAGGAATTCATAATATCTGTGAAAAATAATGTTAAAAATTATCATCACTTACAATTTCTATGGTTTAAAGAAGTAACTAGTCCATACTCTATGTCCAAAAAAATTTAAGACCTTGCCATGAAGAAGATATGATCCTATACAATATTGGTCTTGGGAGAGGAGATGGGATGACCTAAAAAAGGCCTGGAAAGGTGATGAAAAGTGTGGAAGTCATGTGCAAGAATATTCTCCATCGCTAATTTCCTGGCCCAAATCTGAATCCAGTAACAACAAGAGTTCTTTCCACCATAATATGATGAGTGCCATGTGAGTTGCATTTTTAAATTACAAAGCTGCTTATCATCAATTTCGCCAATTTTCATGATAGAATGCTTAGAAGGTTTTTGAAGAGGAATACTAGAGAACATGAAGCAGTATAATAGTACGTTCTATAGAAATGATTCTCTCGGGTGACGCACTAAGAGCTTGAACAGGACTGATTGCAAATATGGGAATTTCTAAGGAGTCCGTTTTCTTCAACCAGTTAATAAAGCTCTTTGGAACTCAATTTCTTTACATGTTAATGTGGACAATTAGATCTACCCTGAATCTTTATATATATATTTAATTATTTAATGATTTATTTATTTTTATTAGCCAGTCAGATCTACAGAGAGGAGGAGAGACAGAGTGGAAGATCTTCCATCAGCCTGTTCACTCACCAAGTGGTCCCAATGGTAAGAGCTCAGCCAATCTGAAGCCAGGAAACTCTTCCAGGTCTCCCACATGGGTGCAGGGTCCCAAGAGATTGGGCCGTCCTCAACTGCTTTCCCAGGCCACAGGCAGGGAGATGAATGGGAAGTGGAGCCACCGGGACATGACTAGTGCCTGTACAGGATCCCAGTGAGTGCAAGGTGAGGACTTTAGTTGCTAGGCTACTGTGCTGGGCCCATCTTGAATATATTTTTAAGGATTATAAAAATGCTTATATAAGTTTCCTTGTAGTCAATATAGGCTATTGATTAGTATTAATATTGTTATGATTATCTCAGAAATGATGTTTTAGAGGTTGGAGCAATAAATAAACAAATAAAACTCTAGTGATGACTTAGATAGCTGTGTGTACCACCCAGCAAGCATAATGGAATCCCTGGGAAGAAACAGCAGAATTTCAAACGTATGAGGGGGCTAGAAAATTTCAGGGGTTAGATTTACTTTTCTGAAAGTATCTTAAACTTCTTAGCACTATCT